ATGTGGACGACCCCTAATCGGAGCAGCTTTTCTCGGCAGTGTGACGCCAATCCAGTCCGGCCGCACGTGATCGTGCGGGAGCGTCGCGTCGTGACGCACGCGCGGGCAGCGGGGGCAGCGCGGGCAGCGGGGGCAGCGTGCGGTGCGCAGACCTGGCTGAGACTCCTCTTTCTGTGTTGCAGGGCGACGGCGGCAGCCCCCTGGTGTGCCCCATGACGGACAGCGCCGACTCGCGCTACCTGTTCGCGGGGATCGTGGCCTGGGGCGTGGGCTGCGGCCAGGAGGACGTGCCCGGGGTGTACGCGGACGTGGCGCAGTTCCGGGGGTGGATCGAGAACGAGATGGCGAGCAGAGAGATCCCCCTGTGCCGCGCCGACGACTGAGTGGCGGGCTCATCACTCTCTACGACAACACAAGATTCGCCAGATCTGGTCGGAACAAAGGAGGACAATAACGAGATGTGACCCTCGACGCTTCCTCACCGACCTGTCCGGAAACCTGAAAAAATGTGATTTTAACTGCCTACTTTTAGGACGAAGACTGTTTTGAAGGACTATTTCCACATGCGTACAAGCGTGCATTTGGAGTCATCACTGGTGCTAATAAGAACTTATTTTACTTTAAATATTTTGACAATAAACGCAAAACAACTACTGCAATAAATCTAAAGTTCGATCAGTGTACAAACCCAGGAACGTTTAGATTGATGCACACTTTACCTTTTCTCTCCAACAAAGAAGCTTCCTGACGGCGAATACGAAAAACCCGCTTTCGTACGCGTCAGTCGCGTGCATGACCACCCCGCCCCCTCCCCCAGCCTGCGGGGAAACCCACCTGCGGTCTAAAGGATTAATGAATGGACGGTTTACGGCCGCCCCCTCACCGGCCTGAAGCTCAGCCAGCCTGTCGCTCTGCGCGGCTGCGCGCCGGCTCGGCTGGGCTGAGCCGGCTGAGCCGCGAGCCAGAGTCTCTGCTCGGCTCGCTCGACCCGCCTCGGCTCGGCTCTGCGCGCGCGAGTCAGTCCGCAGACAACCACCAACTCGCACTGGAGTCTGGAGACCTGCCCAGCCCAGGACGAGTCGAGCCGGTCCGTTGCCACGAGTCGAGCCGAGTCCGCCGCAAGCCGTTGATAAGCCAGCCAGGTAAGTGGGAGTGGAAGGGCGCGGGCCGGGCGTCGGGCCGTGAGGCAGCCCGGCGGTGGGGGCGAAGGGGTGAAGCCCAAGTGCGCAGGGACCGCGCCGCCCCGCGCCCCGCGGCGCACAGCTCGCGTCCCGCGTGAGGGCGGGCGGGACACGGGAGGGCGTTTACTGCCTCACATGTAAACAACATTTTTATCGATTTTTGTTGTCTACGTCTCGTAAACTGCTAGACGGCGAGAGTACTGGGTGTCCAGGCCGTGGGACATGACAGTGCGGGAGCTGCAACTCCCCCCCTCCCCACCCGCCCCCGCACCTGCAGCCCCTGCAGAGTGCATAGACAACCTAACGTACTGTCATGTCTTAGCCTGGACACCCGGTACAAAAAAAGTTATGAATAGGATAGATGAAATCAAATGCAAGTTATCCTATTCAAAAATGTTAAACCAGGTAGACGCACGTTAAAACCGTGTGAAGCTGAGCTAAATGTGCGTCTACCTTGGCCTGCGGCGCGCTAAAATT